AAGCCAGAGGCTAAAAGTCTAGTCAATCCGCCCTACCCCTCATCCCCATCCTTATGGGAAGTCTCAAAGCACCAAAGTTGCTTGACTTGATGCTGCTGAAATAGCCCCTGAAAGGATGCATTTACTTATTTGAACCAATGAACTTTATCAGGGTGCTGGGGGGCTTGCATTTTCCATTTAGCTTGAGAGCACTAAATGGTTTCCTGAGAAGTAATAGCTTTAAGTTAAAAAAAAAAGGAGAATAACAAAAGCACAGGGAGCTGCATTTTTACTTTTATTTTGTAACTGCACTGTACTTTTCATGGATCACAGAACAATTGTCATCTTCCCTTGTTTATTCTGACAGCACTTCGGGAGGTCTTCTTGTCCTCTGGTGGAGGAGAAATCGAGGAAGGAAGACTCCTAGACTCTCTTCATTCCTACTGAGATCACCCTGCAACCACATGACTATTTCTAATCCACAGATTCTTCTTCATGGTATTCATTTACATTAGGTCTACTTCTTGAGGAAGAAAGGAAGTTATTTGCATGTCTTACCAAGTAATTCTTGCTCATCCTCATTCCCCCACCCTCAACCAGAGGGTTTTTCCCTGTTCCCTTACTTTTCATACATCAATGTGATACATTTCCCGTCTCTTTCTTCACAAATATCAATGTTCTCTTCACACATTCAAAGCCAAACCATATTTAGCATTTTGCAAAGTCATTCACTTGCCCATCTTGAATTAACTTCCTTCTCTGTCTCCAATTTCTATAGTCTGCAGGTACTTGTATTATGAAAACTAGTATTTTTCTGCCTTAATTTGGCTTTCATTTGCTTCTAGGTTTTATTTTTTTGTTTTAATATCTTAATTTATATACTTCTCATTGTTGCCAGATTTCTTACCCATTTGGGTAAGTAATTGAGTTTTTAGTGCTCAAAACTTCATAAGTAACAACATGTCTTTTCTAAAACTTTTTCTTCCCCAAGACCTCCTCTACTTCCATTACTTCATAGGATTTCTTACAAACATTTTGAACAAATTTAAGGGAATTCAATAGGTATTGCCATTTTATTTATTTATTTATTTATTTTTTAAATATATTTTATTGATTTTTTACAGAGAGGAAGGGAGAGAGATAGAGAGTTAGAAACATCGATGAGAGAGAAACATCGATCAGCTGCCTCCTGCACATCTCTCACTGGGGATATGCCCGCAATCCAGGCACATGCCCTTGACCGGAATCGAACCTGGGACCCTTCAGTCCGCAGGCTGACGCTCTATCCACTGAGCCAAACCGGCTTCGGCAGGTATTGCCATTTTAAAACAAAGTTTTAATGTTTCTTTTTTCCATAAGTAAAATGATTAGCATATGAGGGGAACAGAGGTTGCCCCTCCAAAATATGCTTCTTTGGGATATTGATTATGTTAAGCTTGTTATTTTTAAGAAAAAGCAGACTCAGGAAAAACTTTTGACCTTTCCCTCAACTGCCTGAAAGAATTTAGATGAGGGGACTGCTCCAGGAAGAGAGCTCTCATTATAGATATAACCATAAAAAGTTGTATGTCATAATTTTTGCTACTGTCACCTAGCTCCACATGACACTATAGAAATAGACTCCAATCTAATGAACAAAATAAACTGAAGAACAAAACAGAAACAGAGGTAAGGTTACAGGGAACAGACTGACAGCTGTCAAAGGGGACAGGGGAGAAGAAGGTGAAGGGATTAGCCAAAGAACATACTAGTATATGCATGACACAGACACAGACAGCAGTGTGGTGATGGGCCGAGGAAAGCTAGAGGTGAGCAAAGAGGGGGGACATGTGGACATCTGTAATAGTGTCAACAATAAAAATAAAGTTTAAAAAACATTCTATATCTAAAAAAAGAAGTTAAGTAATTTGGCCAAGGTTACATGCTATTCTGTGATATAGCTTGGAATTTAAACCCACAGGGTTGGGACCCACGATTCCAGGAACTTACCTTGACTTAGACCCATCCAATTGTATGCCATATGTAAAACCCCTCTCAGTATATTAAATGCTAAGCAAATAACTATGATACTTTTTAAAATCTCATGAATTTGAGAAAGGTTAAAACCTAAGTTTTTAAAGGTTAATGGAATATAGGACTAAGGCTAGTAAAGAGAGAATGAGAAAGAATGGTGTGTTTTTTCCACTACTGTCAAATCCATACCAATATGGTAGAGCTCCCAAGCCAAAAGCAACATTGGTCTTTTCAATAATGTCTTATAAACTCTTGAATATTCACAAATAAACTCAACCTACCAATCTACTAAAGGCAATGGTCCAGGAATCCTCTGCATAAAATTCACCCGGAAATTTTTAGAAAAATGTCTTCAGTATGACACTCAACATTGGAAAAAATATGTCACTCTCCTGACTTAAGAAAACTAATGTGAAAGTGAAGATTACATAGATATTTTGGAAAATGATTGGTCCCAAATACATTTTATCAATAGGTTTGTTTTTAATAATAAGTGAGTATATTTTTCCTAATGATTTATGTAGCAGAATGGGAACCAGTTTTCAATATATTAATTTTTAAAAAAGATTTGGGGGTGCAGTTTTAGGTTTATAACAAAACTGAGAGAAAGGTGCAGATATTTCTTATACACCCCCTGCCCTTATATAAGGGTAAATAAGACCCCTCCATTATCAACATTGCTAACCAGAATGGTACATTTATTTTATTTTTTTTAAACAAAGGATGGCCTTACGTTAACACAACATAATCACCCAAGGTCTACAGTTTATCTTATGGTTCACTCTTGATGTTGTACATTCTATGGATTTGGACAAATATGTAGATCATCATTATAATATTGCACAGAATAGTATCACTGCCCTAAAAATCCTCTGTGCTCTGCTTATTCATCTCTCTATCTCTCCTCCCCCACAACCACTAGTCATTTCATCATCTCAATAGGTTTGCCTTTTCCAGAATATCATCTATATATATAAAAGCCTAAGTGACCGCTGCAACCTAACGGATGACCGAACAGGCTGCGTGGGGCGACCAGGCTGGCAAGGAGGTTAGTGAGGGGCGACCAAACAACCAAGCAGCAGGCTGCGTGGGGTGACCAGGCTGTCAGGCAGGGCAGTTGGGGGTGACCAGGCTGGCGGGGGGGCAGTTAGGGGCAACTAGGCTGGTGGGAGGACAGTTGGAGGCAATCAGGCAGGCAGGCAGGTGAGCAGTTAGGAGCCAGTGGTCCCAGATTGTGAGAGGGATGTCCAACTGCTGGTTTAGGTGGGATCGGGCCTAAACTGGCAGTGGGACATCCCCCGAGGGGTCACAGATTGGAGAGGGTACAGGCTGGGCTGAGGGGACTCCCCTCTCCGTGCACGAATTTCATGTACTGGGCCTCTAGTGTTATAATAATACAGTATTCAATTTTCATAACATTCCTACTTTGCCTGTGGGCTCTTTAACATGTCACCTCTCTCTACATGGTATTTCCAGCCAATTCTCCTAGAATACTTCTGCTGACAATACCCAAGTCAAAGTCTACCCATCAATGGAAGTAGGTCTTCCCCATCTACCCTATTCTCCCTGTTTACAGGTCCTTCTGGTTTCATGTGACACACTAGAGTTCCCTTATTATCAGTACACCCCAGTAACTTAATGACACCACTACTTACTCCCCAGCAAGATAAACAACTATTCCAAGGCAGCAGTCAGTATCTCACAGCCTCTTTCACCTTCATAGCATTTACATTGTCACTAAGCACATGAACAATGTTTAGAAATATTTATTAGTTGATTGGGGCTCTTCCCTGAGCCTCTTACAATATTCAATTGTAGAAGGGTTTACCAATGAAAACTTAAATTATGTATTTTACCTGAAAAATGTTTTGCAGATTAAAGTAGATGAAAATACTCATACTTTAAGCAACAAGAGCTTGCCCTCTCTCTAATTATTATAAATCAAAGCCTGAACATTTATACTATTCAAGATTTCAATTTTTTCCCCTAACTTCCTCCAGCATGAAATCCAATCAAGTGTTTGTGTCCTGCTGTTTTCTACATTCGCCTCCAAGCACTCATTGTAACATATATACTAATTGTGATCCTATTTAATGATTTTTTCAAGTTGTTTTTAATACAGAGTTGCTTTAGTACAAGTTGTTTTTAATACAGAGCTCAACAGTAGCATGGCATATCCCATTACTTATAATTGCATCGGTTATTTTGCCACCAGCTTCCAGAAATAATTAAACACATTCTTCTTGATAGGTAATCAGACAGCACTAACCTATTGCAGTACAGAGAGTGGTTCTCTATCCTCGTATTGAATCCAGCTGGCCTCTTCTCTAACAATTGAAAAACACAAAACCCTTTGTGATGGTTTTATCTTTTGTCTCCCACCGAAATGTGAACTCCATGCTTCCCTTTCCCATGGATCTATTATCTTGGCATCAGCCAGTGAGAGCCGCCCTCCTTCTCCAGGTATCTGAATGTGACACCTAACTACAGGGTTAATTTTTTATCTTATGTGATATTTTATTTAATTCTGATGTTGTCTGGGCCACCTGTCTTCAAACCCTTTTCCAAACTAATAAATTTCCAGTTTCCCCAGCTTTAATTCAAAATACATGTTTGGAGGGTTTTAGCTTCGAGTCTAAGATGAACTTTAAATTCCTCTGAAACATTTCCCTCTAGCTATGAATTTGTCTGAAAGGCTTTCTGGAGGGTTGAAATCATCTGCCATTAACTCAGACGCTTTGCCTATGACCTCTATTTTTTCTCAGTTAACCTCGTATGCTGAACAATATCACTTGCTTCTAGCTATCTCTTATTTCCCAGGTTGATCTACATTTTATTAAAACTTCAGGTTTTGAGAATTCTTTTTTTGGATTCTAATTATTTCTACATGATTGTTTCTCTATCCCCAATATAGGTTACTTTTTACCTTGTACTGGAGTTACCTGAATAAATTATATTTTACTATTTATGTCTGTGAATGGAAGATACCTCCCCTTATCAATTCTAAATGTAGTATTACCATTAAAAAAGCTCATCTAGTGAATGTGGTGTCAAAAAAGGCGTAAACTACACACTTTGCAACCCTTTCCTGCCCTTGAATTTGATGTCTTTGGTGGAGGAGCTGTGTAAGTAACAGTTCAAAAAGAAAAAAAAGTTCATTGTTACTCAATAAGGAGATTATATTTTTGGCAGTTTTAAACTTTGGGACAGAGCTATAAACCAATATGTCAGGCAAAATACCCTATAGAATTTTCAAACACCTTATTGGACCATCATTAGATGAAACACAATCTAATGTTGATAATCTATCATTCTTAGAACATGCACTTCCGATTATCCCAAGCCATCTCAAAAGTTCTGTTTCACCCAGCAAATTTGTTTTAAGAAGGCAATACATTATGTAATATATTTTTAAATGTTTCTATTGTATATGATTATAAAATCTTAAAGTTTATATTGCCATGTAAATAATAAAAGGTGCTCTTCCTTAGCCCCTACTATTGAACAGGTCCTTAATGTACAGTCTCATTAAAGCCACCCAACAAGGTAGTTGCTTTTTTCCAGATTTTACAAGTTAGAAAATGATGGTTCTGAGAAGAACAAGTATTTGCCTAGCTTGCCTGAAGAGATAGTCAGAGTCTTCATATAGGTATCTAAGTTCCAAGGAAAGGGATTGCTCAGGTAACGTTTGAATGTACTCTGATAGTGTTTCTCTTAAAATTCTCAGCTTATTAAATTTCTTTTCAGAATTATTTAACAGTTAGGCCCTTTTGCATAATCCTTGCAAGAGGCAACTTTTCTCCTGTGGAATCTGATTTGCTAGAAAATATTTCTGACATATAGATGAACAAATTGGGAGAAATATATAGTTGCATTTGTCCTTAGGCATCCAGGTTCTTGAAATAGTGGCTTGACAGAGAAGAATTTTCTTCATGACTTTAAATGTCATGTACAGATTGTAATTTTTTGTCAACATAAACAATAGAGATTATTTTAAAGCATATCTGAATTTAGCCTAAAATCAAGAAAAGAGGGTGGAATGAAGTGAAGGGTAGAGAGGCCAAAGAGAAGGCCTTTAAAAATTTGTATTTTGGGATGGAGGGGGAAGGGGAACAAATCTGAAGAGCTAGAAAAGTGACCAATTGAACACACTGTTTACAGGAGGCTTAATTTTAAAAAGCTGTAGTGGCCTACCTATCCAGGTGATTTCTGTGGGACTTTACCTTTAAAGTTACATAAAAATATAGACTTAGGCAAATCCCCCAAGATATTCAGATTCCTGTCATCTAATGTTTTAAAGGTTTTTCCTTCTCTCATAGCATAAAACAAGGAGAGAAAGGTTGTACTTCCACCCCCTCCATTTCAAGTGACAAAGAAGAAAGAAAAAAAATGAGGAAGAAAGAGAAAGTAAGAATGTAGATTGATTGGTAAAACATATCCTTCCTTCTCTGCCATTTAATATTGGTTGGATTGCTATCAGCAGTAAAAATTATGAAATTTATCGAAAGAAGCCATATTTAGAAAATTTAGATATAAATAAGGTCTGGGGTTGGGGAGGAAAGGAGGGGGGTGGGTAAGAGATCAACCAAAGGACTTGTATGCATGCATATAAGCATAACCAATGGATATAAGACACTGGGGGGTAGGGGAGGCCAGGGGAATGTCAAGGGCGGGGAAAAAAAAAGGAGACATATGTAATACTCTTTGTAATACTTTAAGCAATAAAAAATAAATAAATAAATAAAATTAAATTAAAAAAAAATAAAAACCAAATCATGTTCTAAGAGGGCACATAGAAGATCACACACACACTGAAGGCATGTCTGGCTCGCTCAGTCAGGCTGGAAAAACACAAGCAATAGAAGCTGCTGAATTCACACTGTCATTGTCACACTGGTTCTATTTTAAGTGATTTACATTCATTTACTTGCTAAATCTTTACAATAACCCTATGGAGATAGGCAGTATTATTATTTCTGGTTTATAGATGAGGAATTAGGGTCAAGAGAATTTAAGTAACTTGCCCACAGTTGGACACTTAATAATTGAGTCTTCAGAATTTAGATCTAGGCAATCTGATTCTAGAACCTCCCCTCACCCCCCAATAACCATATGTTCTACTGCCTAGACTGGCAATGTTGGCACAGCAAGAATGTACATTGTTGTGTAATTGTCTGTGTCCGTATATTTGCTTGCAGACCAAGAGGGCTGCATTTCATCAAATCCTATCACAAAAGTGCAAAAACATAAAAAAACTAAAATGAGGTAATTTCAGTAGTCTTATCAAAACTTCTGAGCAGTGAGCAGTTCATGGGACCAATGACATTGGTCCCATGAAACTCCTTCTTTGAGCATTGATTAGCACCCCCTCTTTTTTTCCCACTCTCTCATTAAGTTTTGTTTTAATGGGTCTCAACATTCTGTGACAGATTTTTGGTCAAGTTGTTTGCATTAAACAGTATGGATTTTAAAAACTAATAAAACCAAATGGTCCACAAAACATTCTCCTTTCCTTCGGAAGGTTTTAAGATGCATGGTAGTCACTGACCAGACCTTTAGTGTTAAACTTAAACGGCCAATTGGGACAAAAGGTTCTGAGACCGTTCCTACTTTAATGTCTCTTTCCCAGTTCAAGGCCAATCATCCCTTCTAATAGCCAGGGAAAACCCCCATCAAAGATTGGCCTACCTGTGAAGTAGCCCTAGTGTTTCTGCATGCTGACATTTTTATGATTATAAGTGTGGCCTACATAGATGCTCTTATCCAATGAATCTCCAACACACATACTGAATTACTATTCCTATTCTTTCACATACAACTGAAAAAACAACAACATGATTTTACACCTCCCTTGATGGACTTATTTAACTCTTCAGCTCAAGTGTCTCTTCTCTGCAGGGTTTTCTGAATACTCCCTACTATTTATTTTGCAGTTTTGGTACTTGTGTAATTGAATGCTGCCCTTTTTCCAGAGACTCATATGTACTTTCAAATTTCTGAAGGCTGCAATTCCTAAAAAATAAATTACACATAAGAAAACCCACAACAACAAGATAGTTGATTAAGAAACTTTCCTTTCCTGAATGTTTTTAATCAGATCTGCTGTTCTTAATTCATTTTCCTCAAAGAAATGATTTTTATTTTCTACACACCTTAGAGGGTGGTAATTCCCTTGACTATTAAAGGAATTTTTGAAGTGTTTCTGCATAATTCATAGTGAATGTAATGCTCAGAAACTGGCATTATTTAGGTATGCATATTAATAATTTATATGCAAATTAAGAACCCTGGGATGCAGCACCACTGGAATATATAACTCTTGCTGCTTTTTCTAAGGTAGTACATTTCTTGTACCTTTGTGTTATTTCTTTATATAACATTTTCCAATTCACCCAAATGTCTAATCATATTAAGATCTTAACTTTTGCATTAGCTAAAGCAATTATGAATGTGAGAAGATGGAAATTGTTAATATAAAGCAATTACACGTTATGGTTCCTCCTCAGAAGCAGAAATATATGCCTTTTGAATGTTTTCCTTTATGAACCATATATTTCAAACACCTCACCTCAAAGTCTATTTTTCTTTTACTTGAAAATTTTCTATTTTTACCCATTGATTTTCTCCTAAAGAAATATTTAGCAAAACATAATTCCAAACTATTGATGCAATAAGATTTCACTTGATTATGACCTCCAACCCGACAATACTTATTTCCGCAGTGAGACTCCTTCACTGAGGGAGATGAAGAGAAGAGAGATAAAGGCTGAGGGATAATCATTAAAAGCAGCAGTCTCAGGATATATTTTATTCCAAATGCATCAAAAGCATCCTCTGAAGTAGATTTAGAAGTGAAATTCTGTAGTTGAACTTTGAAATTGGCACAATGTCTCATTCTTAAGGTAACAAGTCGTCCTGGACCACAAATCCCTGAAACTGGGGGTGATATCAGGAGGTACTTTAGTCCTGTAGCCCTTAGTAGGCTTATGTGACAATCTTTAAATGAAGTCAATGGTGACAGGAAAGGAAATAAATGATATAAAGGTGAATCTTCTGTTTCAAGATATACTTAGAAAAGTGCTTCCATTGTTCTGGGTTACTATCTGGGTTCACAATTCACCTCTGACTGGACCTATATGGAATTTGAAATGAAAGAAAGTTGGTCTTTGGTAGCAATAGCTCTGCCATTACACTTAGCATACTCATTTCCTTTCTTCTTAAGTTGTCTTTGCCCATGCCCCAGTCTCCCAGCCATTTTTCTTTCCTTTCTTTCATCACCATTCTCCAATCAAAATCTGTACTCCAAATCTGTACTCCAAAAGGACTTACACTCAGACATTTGGAATAAAAGTCAGATTGAAAGGTACCACTCCTCCCGGGCCATTTTCACAGAAGCAGAAGGTAAAGCCTGAAGAGAAGGGAAACATCTGAGCTGCTAGAATTTTTAAGAAACAACATGCATGTGAGACACATGCTTTAAGATGGTAAAGCCTGCATAGATACTTTACATGGGATGGATAGCCACCCATTCATAAAACATGGTCTTTTAAGGAAAAAAAATATTGCTCTGATTCATAAGGCATAGGAAGATGAGGCACAACAAAAATGTGCTGAAATTTCACATAAAAATCACACCATCTAATTTGAAAATCAAATATATTCAGTAAAGAAAATGAAAGCAAGACACGAAAATTTTATTAAATGAGTCTAAACCCACAAGATTATCCTACCTTGTCTCTTAACTAGTCCTTCCTTATCTAACACTGGCTGTGTCTTTGCACCTAACAAGGCATTTTCTTTCTTGACTTAGAATTGTTAGCTAGTCCAGACCTTCATCACTTAAGAATTAAATTCTTTCAACTGTCCTTAAACTGGACTCCTTGAGCCCGTTGTTTACAACATCAGAACATCTGCAAGCAACTGCAGAATATGGCCCCTTCACAGAAAAAAATCCTAGGTGGGATGAGCAATTGAAAGTGTCCTGAGCATTGCCCAGTAGGATGTGTCTTTCATTCCTGCTCTTCATTATCTCACTACTTTATATTCCTGGGACAAGATTCCATGATCTGTAATTCCTGGGCTGATTCTGGTTTTCCGTTCATCTCTTCCAACACAGCCATTCTTCAGGAGGCTTGACA